AAAAAAAAAAAAAAAAAGTTTTTAAAAGCACATTGCCTGGCAATTTTTAATCATTAGCCTAGAAGTAATTAAAAAAAAAAATACAGTCAACCGCTGGGTGGAGCCAGGGCTGCTTGTGGTGGGTGGGGCAGAGGTCTCTGAGAGATGGATGGGGAGCACAGGTCACGGGATAAAGGGTTGCAGGGCTCTGAGATAAATCACAAAGATTGAGGCAGGCTCATAGGAGCCATTGGGGTCCTGGGAGGACCTTGGAGCAGAGGACAGTAACTGTATTCTCTCAGGAAGGTAGATGGAGGGGCTGGGCTGACAGACTTGTTGGGAGCTGCTGAACATCTAGGAGTGGTGGTCATGGGGCAGGGAGGGCAAGATGGGCAACGTGGTTAGGTTCTTGATGTGCTTAGAAGATGAATTAGAAATGAGGTGTGAGAATGAAGAAGGAAGGAGACTTATGTACAGGTTCACAGACCAAGCTGGGGGCAGAAATGGTGGTAGAGGGGGTGCTCGGTTTGGGATGTTAAACGTCTTGAGATGCTATGTGACACCCATATTGAAATGTTGAGTCAGAGGGAAGGGGGATCACCAGCTCAAGTGTACCAAAAGAGCTACTGGGCTCAACTGACTTTTCAGACTCACAGGACAACCATGCCTAGCAGCAGGTTCATGGAAAAGCTGACTAGCCTCATCCAGCAGGCATCCAGGGAGTACTCAGGTGCATAAACACAAGATGCAGGTAGGAGAAGGAGTTAGCCTTGGTCGAAGGCCTCGTGGTCACACAAGCCAACACCTCCTGTGTCAGGAGAACTGGCTACAAGATCTGCTTGGGAGGCCCTGAGTCTAGTTCCCGTGGTTGTTCATCATTGAGTCCCATCCCAGGTGTGGTTGGGCCATAGAGAGAATAACCATCCACCTCTGCCAGGTTTCCAGAGGACGAGAGTTGTGCATTCACCAGAGGTCAAATTCACATGCAGGGCTAGGCACAGTGACTCACACCTGCAATTCCAGCACTTTGGGAGGCCAAGGGGGGCAGATCACTTGAGCTCAGGAGTTCAAGACAGCCTGGGCAACATGGTGAAATCCCGTCTCTACAAAAAATGCAAAAATTAGCCGGGCATGGAGGCAGGTACCTGTAGTCCCAGCTACTCAGGAGGCTGAGGCAAGAGAATCGCTTAAACCCGGGAGGCAGAGGTTGCGGTGAGCCAAGATCGCGTCGTTGCACTCCAGCCTGAGCAACAAGAGCAAAACTCTCTCAAAAAAAAAAAAAAAAAAGAATTGCATTACACTTCCACAGAAATGTACATGCACACACACATTTGGAGGGAATGGGCAGTTTTGGAGAATAGCAGCACAAGAGAGGGTTGAGAGCCTCTCTCCACCATGTTTCGCCGTCCTGTGCTTCAGAGGCAAGCAGCTGATAGTTTATTGTGTATCTTCCTGAAAGTTGTCTATGCAAATATATACATATATCTGATGTGGGTTTTTGTTTTGCTTTGTTTTGTTTTTTGAGACAGAGTCTCACTCTGTTGCCCAGGCTGGAGTGTAGTGGCATGATCTTGGCTCACTGCGACCTCTGCCTCCTGGGTACAAATGATTCTCCTGCCTTAGCCTCCTGAGTAGCTGGGATTACAGGCACCTGCCACCACACCCAGCTGATTTTGTATTTTTAGTAGAGACAGGGTTTCACCATGTTGGCCAGGCTGGTCTCCAACTCCTGACCTCAGATGATCCACCTGCCTCGGCCTCCCAAAGTGCTGGGATTACAGGCATGAGCCACCACGCCCGGCCTATATATGATGTTTTATAGACAATGGGATTGTGATGTCCCTTGACTCCTGCCCCCAGGCCCTTTCCTCCTGGCAGCCCTGACACCTGTTGTGTCACTCTTGAAGTATCCTGTTTGTTGTGGTGCCCAACTGAGCCAAGCATGTGAGCGTGTTGGTTGCTTTCTTGTACCATGTTTTTCTGGAGTATTTCTGCCTTTGGTCACCTGCTTGGTTTCTGTGTCCCTGTCACAGACTCTTTGATGCTCTAAAGACTGCGAACAATATCCTGTACAGGGCCAAATGTGTCAGGAAAGCTCTTGCCCCTGCTCCCCTTTTTTCCCCAGCCATTTGGGTGTGTGTCAGACGCTTTTGCTTACCTTGTCCTGCTACATTCCAGCACTGGCCCAACTACTCCAAGCATTTCCTTCTCACTTGATGACAAGTCTTCCTTCAAGTGCTCAGACCAGATCCCTGGGCCACTGCTGACTCATTTTGTCCAGAACTGACCACTTCTCCTGCCTACCCTTTGAATACCCTTGTTGAACCACAAGGTTGAGAGCCTCCACCACATCAGAGCACCAGGGCTGCCTAAGGGTGGGGTTGGGGGGAGTCTTATTGTCACCCTGGTGGCCAAGCCTTTCTTAATTGGGACGGTGTTTGGGGAAGCAGCTTGGTCTAATGCCTGTATCCCTCACGTGACCTGGGGACAGTCTGGTTTTTGTGTGAGTGCCTCAGGTATGAACACAGAGGGCCCTGGTGAGCTGGTATCCTTGTGTGTGGGGAGGACCATTGGCCGTGACCAAGGTGCAGCAAGTGCCTTGCACCTGGTGTTCAGAGAGCCCAGTACTGGCTGGGCAGGACCAGGAACTATGTGTTCAGGGCCTGGACAGGCTTGGGGGAGGCAAGACAGAGCAAGGCTGCAACAGTAGCAGCTCCTTGCACCTTACCTCAGTGTGCCCCTCATTGACTCTAAATGAGGCCCAGGGGTCCCCTGAGGGTCCCCCAGGAAGTTAAGGTCTCAAGGTCATACCCCTCTCTTGTCCCTTCCTCAGCCCCACAGGCTCCTTCAATTTCTGTGATTCTCAGAGGCCCCAGGAGACCAGGTGATGGCAGCAGCCAGGCTCCTGCCAGTGCCTGCAGGACCCCAGGTAAGCTTTCCCCAATACCTGTGCAGTGCCCCCAGCCAGAGCCCTGTGGTTCCTTCCATGCCCCATAGCTCCTGAGAGCAGCCAGAGCATCACTGCATTCCCTGAACTCTATGGCACCTCCCCATTACCTACCTCAGCTCACAGAGCCCCCCCATTGCCAACTGCTCATGTCACATGCACCCACTCCCTGTCACAGAGGTCAGGATTTGATCTTACCTGCAGCAGCCCGTGTCGTTTCAGGCCAAGTTAACCTTCGAGGATGTGGCTGTGCTCCTCTCCCAGGATGAATGGGACCGCCTGGGTCCTGCTCAGAGGGGCCTATACAGAAATGTGATGATGGAAACCTATGGGAATGTAGTCTCACTGGGTAAGGCCCCTTAGCAGGCCTTGTCTGTGTATCTGTGTGTTGGACTGGGGTGGGGGCTTCCCAGGGTGGGGGGCCTGGGGCAGGCTTGTCCTGGAGGTTTGCTCTCATCACCTCTCTGGGTGCTCATCTCCAGCAGAACATCAGTCCTGTCCATTTTCATGTCCCCACAAGGGGGGGGGGGGGGGGGGGGGGGGGGGGGGGTGCTCTGTAAATGTTGTATAAACGAAGACTTCCCTCTCCATGAGCAGGACTTCCAATATCCAAGCCTGACTTAATCTCTCAGCTGGAGCGAGGGGAAGATCCCTGGGTCCTGGATGGGAAGGGGGCTAAGGAGAGCCAGGGCCTGTGGAGTGGCCACTCAGGTGAGTAAGGAGAGCTGTCCCCTCCTTCACTGAGAGCTAAACATGTCCTCAGCACAGCTGTGGACCTAGTTCAGACTGAGCCGCTGACTGCAGTGGCTTCCACCTGGGGTAAAACCTGTCCAGCCTTATCTGGCAAAGGAGTCTGTTGTCTGGGGGTTGCTGAGTCAGGCAGTAGTCCATGGCCAGAAGTGAGCATAGCGGTGAATTTCAACAAGCTGTTGTGCAGAGCCATATAGAGGAAATTAAGGCATGGCTGCAGTGATTCTGTCCCTGACCAGAGGGACTGGTTAGCCAAATTTGGTCCTAATGGGACATTCAGGTTTTGAGAGTTACCTGATGATTTAGGAAAGAACAAAGTATCCTAAATGAAAAAAGGAAGTGTCTCAGCCTGCCACTCAAGGTGAAATGCTGAAAGCACAGTACACTGTTTCATCTGAAGAACAAGACAAAGGAACCCACATCCCCATGTCCATATAACATTGTACTGGGCGTCCCATGTATGAAATAATGCAAAACCAAAGCTATAAGAATTGGAAAGAAAAAAAGCATTGTTTGCAGTTTATGTGATTGTCAACTTGGAAAATGATTAAAATTCACAAGGGAAATTACCAGTTTTGCTGTATATAATTTTTGTTTTGTTTTGTTTTGTTTTGTTTTGTTTTGTTTGGAGACAGTCTTGCTCTGTCACCCAGGCTGGAGTGTAGTGGCACGAGTTCTTGGCTCACTGCAATCTCTGCTTCCTGGGTTCAAGCATTTCTTATGCCTCAGCTTCTCAAGTAGCTGGGATTACAGGTCTGTGCCGCCAAAGAATCTCCTGCTTCAGTAAGGTGACATCTAAGTCTTAGGAAAACCCCAGTCAGCCTGTCCTACCATAATGTGCCCCACCTGGGGTGAATAGGGACAGTTGGGCGAAACCTCCATTGGCTGATCAGCTTCAGCATTTCAGGTGTGGTGGTTTTCTCCTTGAAAGCTGCTCCTCATTTCTAGAGTTTATGGGAATAGGGTACCAGGTGTTACAGTGTACCTCTTACTGGCCTGCAAAATCAGATATCCTCAGAGGAACAGGGTACATGCCAGCCTTAGAGGAATTTAATTTTCCAGTGACTATAAACAAGAAGACACATCATCATGTCTTGGAAATCTTGCATAGAACTGCATGCTAACTACAGCTGTAGGAGGCAGGGCGTTTGCCGCCACTGCCAAACTAGTCCTGGGCTCCCTGGTATCTAGCTGTGTACTCGCCTGATGGAAAGCTTAAACTCCCTTTGAGGGCCCTTTGAATTTGATACCACAAAGACTGTGAAATTCTCTGGGAGCATGGTTGGTTGGAGATGAGAAGTTTTTTCACAGAAGCACCTGGTCGCCTCACCGCTGGCACAGGTCACAGAGGACAATGGGACTGAGTGAGTTTTAGATTACTGATGTGCATAGAAGCAGAAGCCACCTGCCACAACCTGGATCACTGCCACTGGCATCAGAGCCAGTGAGGAGTAGAATATGCCTTTGTCTTGTCCTGGCAGTTCCTCAGGATGGATAAGTGTCTGCACCTGCCCAGCCCTGCCTCTGCTATTTTTAACTCAGTAAATTGTAATTACATGTTGTAATAGTAATGAAAGGATTTTCCAGTCTTTTTTTTCTTTTTCTGAGAGACATAGTCTCACTCTGTCTTCCAGGCTGGAGTGTAATGGCACAATCTTGGCTCACTGCAATGTTCACCTCCCAGGTTCAAGTGATTCTCCTACCTCAGCTTCCCAAGCAGCTGGGACTACATGCATGCGCTATTGCATCCAGCTGATTTTTTAATTTTTTTGTAGAGACAGGGTTTTACTATATGTTGGCCAGGCTGGTCTCAAACTCCTGACCTAAAGTGATCCCACCCACCTCAGCCTCCGAAAGTGCTGGGATTGCTGGCATGAGCCACTGTGCCCAGCCAGGATTTTCCACTCTTGAAAGGAGTATTTTGTTGTCACTTCAACTCACTATTTTTTTTCCAGACAACCTCAAATGGGACCACACTACAGCTTGTATGCAACAAGACAGTTTATCTTGTCCATGGGGTAAGTGTATGCCTGATCTTTTTAATTCAGTACAATCTCTGAAGGTATTAATGCTAATGTTTTACGAGAATGTAGAGACTACTCGGTGCTACGAAGCTTGTTATACAACTCACACAATTGCTACAAAACACCAGGGAGGGTTTTTTTTGTGTGTTTTTTCATTTTTAAAACTTTTTTTCTTTTCTTGTGAGCCATAGTAGGCCTAGATTTTTTAATTAAAAATTTATTTCAGAAAAGAAAAATAGAAAAAAATAAAATAAAATAAAAGTAAAAAAAATTAAAAAGCCAGCCAGGCGCAGTGGCTCAAGCCTGTAATCCCAGCACTTTGGGAGGCCGAGGCGGGTGGATCACGAGGTCAAGAGATCGAGACCATCCTGGTCAACATGGTGAAACCCCATCTCTACTAAAAATACAAAAAATTAGCTGGGCATGGTGGCGTGTGCCTGTAATCCCAGCTACTCAGGAGGCTGAGGCAGGAGAATTGCCTGAACCCAGGAGGCGGAGGTTGCGGTGAGCCGAGATCGCGCCATTGCACTCCAGCCTGGGTAACATGAGTGAAACTCAGTCTCAAAAAAATAAAATAAAATAAATAAATAAAAATAAAAATAAAAAATAAAAAGAAAAAAAGAAAACAAAAAAAAATTTATTTCAGTGAAATTAATTTTTTATTTAAAATTTCTTTTTGTTTTGTCATGCTTAAAACATACTTCCCTACTCTATACTTAAAACATACTTCCCTACTCTATACTTAAAACAACAACTGAAACCATCATTCTAAAAGCAAGTGACACTTGGCTGAAGTCCAACTTCTGCACAGGATGAATGCAGGGTGCAAGTAAGTGTGGCCTATACCTGGCACTCACAGCAACTTGAGTCTGTCTCACAAACAGTCATATGATGCTTTCATGCCATGGATGATTGAGTAATCTCTTATACAGTTTAATATGTATGTGTATGTGTGTATTTTTCTTCTTTTTTTGAGACAAAATCTCGCTCTGTTGGCCTGGCTAGAGTGCATTGTAGAGACGGGGTCTTGCTATGCTTCCCAAGGTGGTCTCAAACTCCTGGCCTCAAGCAAGTCTCCTGCCCCAGCCTCCCAATATGCTGGGATTACAGGCATGAGCCACTGTGCCTGGCCTATTTTTTTTTTTATTATTAAAGACATCTTTCCATCTTGTTACTTTGGCATCAGGTCAGAAGCCACCCATTCAGGAAACTTTTTTTCTTTAGACAGGCTCTCTGTTGCCAAGGCTGGAGTACAGTGGCATGATCACAGCCCACTGCAGTCTCAACCCCCTGTGCTCAAGCATTCCTCCCACCTCAGCTCCCCAAGTAGCTATAACCATAGGTGTGCACCACCATGCCCAGCTGATTTCTGTAGAAACAAGGTTTCAACATGTTGCACAAGCTGGTCTCAAACTCCTGGGCTCAAGTGATCCACCTGCCTTGCCCTCCCAAAGTGCTGGGATTACAGACATGAGCCGCCATGTCTGGTGAAACTTCAAACAATAGAAATAATACTCTTCAGTGCAAATGAGTAACTATTTCTTCAGCCTACAGGCTTTTATTCCGTGAAGATGAGGCTTATACATTAAAAAAAAAAAAAAAAAAAGAACTAAAACTTGTTTCTATCAGTTTAAAAAACACATAGCCAGCCTAGGCAAGATAGTGAGACCCAACACTACAAAATAAAATTTAAAATTAGCCAGACATGGTTGTGCATTCCTGTAGTCCCAGCTATATGGAGGCTGAGATGGGAGGATTGCTTGAGGCCGGGAGGTTGAGGTTGCAGTAAGCCGTGATCACATCACTGTACTCCAGCCTAGGTGACAGAGACCTGTCCCCAAAAAAACCCACAGAATAGCCTTCTAAAATGAGACGTGTTAAAAATTATATTAAACTAGGCCGAGTGCAGTGGCTCACACCTGCAATCCCAGCACTTTGGGAGGCCAAGGCGGGTGGATCACCTGAGGTCAGGAGTTCGAAACCAGTCTGGCCAACGTGGTGAAACCCTGTCTCTACTAAAAATACAAAAAATTAGCTAGGCATGGTGGCACATGCCTGTAATCCCAGCTACTTAGGAGGCTGAGGCAGGAGAATTGCTTGAACCTAGGAGGCAGAGGTTGCAGTCATTATTCATCAGTAAAGTGGAAATCAAAACCATTATACCATGTTACACCTTCAGAATGGAAAAACTGGAAAGATCTGACAATATCAAATGTGAGTGAGGATGTAGGGCAGCTAATAGGGATGTAAATTCACATAATCACTTTGGAAAAATTTGGCATCATCCAATGAAATTGAAAACATGGTCATATTCTGAGAGAATGGAGGTAAAAAAAACTAAAAAAAAAAAAAAAAAAAAAATTGAAAACATGAATTCCTATGTTCACCACTTCCCACTCCTGCATATTTATACGGCAAGGGCATTTGTGTGTAAGCACCAGGAATCATAGGAGAATCTTCACAGAAGCAAGTTTCATGATTTAAAAAAACATTTGAAAAGAATTCAGGGCTGGGCACAGTGGCTCACACCTGTAATCCCAGCACTTTGGGAGGCTGAGGCAGGTGGATCACAAGATCAGGAGTTCGAGACCATCCTGGCCAACATGGTGAAACCCTGTCTCTACTAAAGATACAAAAAATTAGCTGGACATGGTGGCGCGTGCCCGTAATCCCAGCTACCCAGGAGGCTGAGGCAGGAGAGTCACTTCAACCTGCGAGGCAGAGGTTGCAGTGAGCCAAGATTGCGCCATTGCACTCCAGCCTGAGCAACAAAGCGAGCCTCCACCTCAAAAAAAGAAAATTCAAAAAAAATAAAAAAATTCAAATGTTCATAAACAGTATAGACTAGACATAAACTATGGCATTTTAACATAATGGAATATACTGCAGTGAAGATGATTGAATAACTGCTACACAGCAACATGATGGATCTCAAAAACATGCCGAGGGTGAAAACAAGTTCCAGAAGACTGTGTTCCATGAAACTATAGAAAGCTCAGAAACATGCATAACTAAATAAAACAATGTTTAAACCTAGGCACAATGGTTCACACCTGTAATCCCAGCACTTTGAGAGGCCAAGATGGGAGGATCACTTGATCCCAGGAGCTTGAGGCTGCAGTGAGCTATGATAGTAGCCACTGCACTCCAGCTTGGGTGACAGCACAAGACTCCATCCAAAAAGAAAAAAAAATCACTATTGTCCTCAGCACCTCTCACCTACCACCCATTCACACACAATCAGCTTGCAGAGCACTTGACTTGGCTCCCAGAAAGGTCTTCACCCCAGTCTTTCCTGCAGGAAAGTGCTGCTGCTCCTGCAGGCCTCATCTGTGGCCTAAACTTGGCAGCAGATTCCCATCATGTCCCTCTGCGCCTCCAGTCTTGTCCTTCCCACCCCTCCTCCACCCAGGGCATTCTCCAAGTGAAATTATCTTCCACAGGGCCAGGTGCGGTGGTTCACGCCTATAATCCCAGAACTTTGGGAAGCCGAAGTAGGTGAATCACTTGAGGTCAAGAGTTCAAGACCAGCCTGGCCAACATAGCAAAATGCCATCTCTACTAAAAATACAGCTGGGCATGGTGACATGCCACTGTAATCCCACTTAGGAGGCTCAGACACAAGAATCGCTTGAACCCGGGAGGTGGAGGTTGCAGTGAGCTGAGACTGCGCCACTGTGCTCCACCCTGGCGACAGAGCAAGACTGTCTCAAAAAAAAAAAAAAGGCATATACAAGTCTGTTGGCCTCCAGATGGCACCCCCACCCCCGACTTGCTCACAAGAGCTCATAACTCTCCCTGCCTGCCCAAGTGCCGCTGTCTACCCCACAAAACACCCACGTTGTGGTGTAGGCCTGCATGTAAGCTCTGTCCACATGAGGACTCTAGGGAGGGCAGGGCTCAGGCAGCACTGGGCTGTTTCCCAGCTGTTCTGTGCACTCCACACAGGTGTGACCTCAAACTGGAGTTTACACCTTTCTCTTAAACCTCACTATTTGTCTTGGCACATTCCTGTTTGGAAACATTATCTTCTGATTTCTAGTTGTTTGACACAGTTAATAGTGGTTCTGTTCCTCTCTAGTTCACATAGCCATGTGCATTGAGGGATTTTGCACCTTCATCAGCAAGGCCAGTTTCAGGGTTGCACTTGCTTTTCAGTTTTGAGTAGTGTTAACATTTTCATTTTGGATATGTTCTTTCAGAATATGAAACCAAGGGAGAGAATCAAAATACAGACTTGAGTCTGAAGCCATTAATTTCAGAGGAAACAGTGATTCTGGGGAAAACATCCTTGGGGAGGATTGATCAAGAAAATAATGAAACAAAGCGAAGCTTCTCTCTAAGTCCAAATTCTGTTGACCACCGTGAAATTCAGGTCTTAAGCCAAAGCGTACCACTCACTCCACACCAGGCAGTGCCTAGTGGAGAGAGGCCCTACATGTGTGTTGAGTGTGGGAAGTGCTTTGGCCGGAGTTCCCACCTCCTTCAGCATCAGCGTATCCACACTGGAGAGAAGCCCTATGTGTGCAGTGTATGTGGGAAGGCCTTCAGCCAGAGCTCAGTACTTAGTAAACACAGAAGAATTCACACAGGTGAGAAGCCCTATGAGTGTAACGAGTGTGGAAAAGCCTTTAGAGTGAGCTCAGATCTTGCTCAGCATCACAAGATACACACGGGAGAGAAGCCTCACGAATGTCTTGAGTGTCGGAAAGCCTTCACTCAACTCTCACATCTCATTCAGCACCAGCGGATCCACACAGGAGAAAGGCCATATGTGTGTCCATTGTGTGGGAAAGCCTTCAACCATAGCACTGTCCTGCGGAGCCACCAGAGGGTACACACCGGGGAGAAGCCTCACAGGTGCAATGAGTGTGGGAAAACTTTCAGTGTGAAAAGGACACTACTGCAGCACCAGAGGATCCACACTGGGGAGAAGCCCTACACATGCAGCGAGTGTGGGAAGGCCTTCAGTGACCGCTCAGTCCTCATTCAGCACCACAACGTGCACACTGGGGAGAAGCCCTATGAGTGCAGCGAATGTGGGAAGACCTTCAGCCACCGCTCTACCCTGATGAATCACGAGCGGATCCACACTGAGGAAAAACCCTATGCATGCTACGAATGTGGGAAGGCCTTCGTTCAGCACTCACACCTGATCCAGCACCAGAGAGTCCACACTGGGGAGAAGCCCTATGTGTGTGGTGAGTGCGGGCATGCCTTCAGTGCACGTCGGTCTCTAATCCAGCATGAGAGAATCCACACCGGTGAAAAGCCTTTCCAGTGCACAGAATGTGGCAAAGCCTTCAGCCTAAAAGCAACTCTGATTGTGCACCTGAGGACCCACACGGGCGAGAAGCCCTATGAGTGCAATAGCTGTGGGAAAGCCTTCAGCCAGTACTCAGTGCTCATCCAGCACCAGCGGATCCACACAGGTGAGAAGCCCTACGAGTGCGGGGAGTGTGGGCGCGCCTTCAACCAGCACGGCCACCTAATCCAGCACCAGAAAGTGCACAAGAAGTTGTGACCCGTGGCTGATAAAAGAATCCATCTCACAGAAACTGCACGTGGAACCGCAAGCAGCCTTCAGCCCAAAAGAAGTTTCTGTTAACTCTATAGGAATCCTTTCTTTGGTAATTCAGTGTCACAAAATAACTCCGAAAAGAAGCACTTGGCATGATGTTCCCGTGGAAAAATTTCAGACTACCTGTTTTTATTTTCCTCACCATCTTGAGGTTACATTGGAGAGTAATCATAGAATTGTAGTGAATTTTCGTAAAAACAGCCACAATTCTTTCTCTGACATTAGTTTATTTGAACTAAGGGAATTTAAGGCATAAGAACTATTGTTCCAATAAAATCTTCTTACATTCCAAATAAAGTTCTTTTTCTAAGAACATTACATGCCCTTCATAAATATCAATTAACCATACTGATTATTGCACTTAAAATTAGAAAATTTAATATTTTCAGTATTAAAACACTAAAGTGCTGTATGGATAAAGTGATACAAAAAGAGATTTTCATCAAGTATGCAATGGATGGAAATCCTAAGTGTGTGGAAACACCTGTTTTGTATAAAACAAAAGTCTAATGATATATTAGTGAGAAATTATGTAAATTTAGAAAGCTTTTTTTTTTTTTTGGAGACAGAGCTTTGCTCTGTTGCCCAGGCTGGAATGCAGTGGCACGATCTCGGCTCACTGCAGCCTCCACCTCCCAGGTTCAAGCGATTCTTGTGCCTTAGCCTCCCAAGTAGCTGGGATTACAGGTGTGCACCAACACCACACCTGGCTAGTTTTTGTATTTTTAATAGAGACGGAGTTTCATCATGTTGGCCAGGCTGGTCTCGAACTCCTGGCCTCAAGTGATCTGTCCACCTTGGCCTCCCAAAGTGTTGGAATTACAGGTGTGAGACACCACGCCTGGCCTAGAAAACCCTTTATCTGATGCTTTATTCAAGATCAGAAGGGGTATCCTAACTTTTTTAGTAAAAATTAAATTCAAAAATGGGTATGTTCCTCAAAACCTGCACTTATGATCTGCAGACCCTGTGCCCCAGAAACCACGGGATGTTTCCATTCCTATGCAGGCATAGGAAGGGAGCTTCACTCTCTTCCTGTGAGTGCAGATCTCATAGCTGTTACACCAAGAACCTCTTTACATCTTATGGTCTTCCCCCCACACACAAAAATGCTGAAAAGACTTTGGTACATATATTTAAAACATAAGTTTCTCAAATTCAGATAGCTCTTTTTTGCTCTCTCTAATATTTCTATTCTTTTATTTGAAGGATTTATGTTTCTTTCTTTTTTTTTTTTTTTTTTTTTTTTTGAGACGGAGTTTCACTCATGTTACCCAGGCTGGAGTGCAATGGTGCGACCTCGGCTCACCGCCACCTCCGCCTCCTGGGTTCAGGCAATTCTCCTGCCTCAGCCTCCTAAGTAGCTGGGACTACAGGCACGTGCCACCATGCCCAGCTAATTTTTTGTAGTTTTAGTAGAGACGGGGTTTCACCATGTTGACCAGCATGGTCTTGATCTCTTGACCTTGTGATCCACCCGCCTCGGCCTCCCAAAGTGCTGGGATTACAGGCTTGAGCCACCGCGCCCGGCCTATGTTTCATTTTTTTTTTAGTCCTGGTTCAAGAGTAGTATTCATTGACATATTACTGTGATGAAGATGAATCTGGTTTATTCATAATTAAAATTTTGTTTTTGTTCAGAATTATGTTCTAAGGATACAGTTCTTAAAACTGAATTTGAGGCCGGGCACGGTGGCTCAAGCCTGTAATCCCAGCACTTTGGGAGGCCGAGGCGGGTGGATCACAAGGTCAAGAGATCGAGACCATCCTGGTCAACATGGTGAAACCCCGTCTCTACTAAAAATACAAAAAAATTAGCTGGGCATGGTGGTGCGTGCCTGTAAGCCCAGCTACTCAGGAGGCTGAGGCAGGAGAATTGCCTGAACCCAGGAGGCGGAGGTTGTGGTGAGCCGAGATCGCGCCATTGCACTCCAGCCTGGGTAACAAGAGCGAAACTCCATCTAAAAAAAAAAACTCTAAAATAAACTGAATTTGTGTCAGAACCATTTCTGGTAGCAACTAGCTACAAAGGAAACAAATGTATGAGATTTAAGCCACTTCAGAGTCTCCTCAATGTGTTAAGTGCCTGAGATAGAGAAGGGCTGTCTTCACCCCTGACCCCCACCCCCAACATCTGTCAGCTTGATGGGAAGGAAATAAGCAGTAGGACATTGATCCTTTTGTTGTTTTAAAGATGGTCTTGCTCTGTCACCAGGCTGGAGTGCAGTTGTGCCATCATGGCTTACTGCTGCCTCAAACTCCTGGGCTGAAGCATTCCTCCCACAGCTTCCTAAAGGGTTTAAGATTGCAGGCATGAGCTGCTGCACCCATCCAGGCATTGATTCTTAAGTCCACAGCAGAACACCATAATGTAGACAAAAGCTTGTTCCCCCTTCTATGTAGCGACGCTAGTGAAAAAAACTTAAAACAGTGAGGTATAACTCCAGAGAGGAACTGGTAACTGATTTGTTAACTTGAGAAAGGCGCTGACATTGCTGGTGTTTTACTTCAGTGCAACTGAAACCACTGAAGTGAAATTCCAGAGAAACTAATATTACTGAGGTGTTACATCAGAGGAACTGAGATCACTGAAGTGAAACTCAGACAGCTCAAGTAACCCAGGTATTAACTTTAGAGGCGTTATTGATTCCATGAGGTGTTGCTTCAGATAGGAGATGAAATAACTAAGGTGTTACTTCAGAGAAGACAAGAGCTTGTTACTTTGGAGGAGAGCTGAGATCACTGAAGCAAGAAATGTCACTTAAGCAAGAAAATGAGACAATTAGTCTTATTTCAGAGGATCTGAGTACACTGAGGTATTTCCTCAGAAAGGAGGTGAGATCACTGGGTGTTACTTCTGGAAGGAACTGACATCACTAATGATTACTGTAGAGTAGCTCTGACAGCTGAGGTTTACTTCAGAGTAGCTGAAATAACTGAAATGGGATCACTAAGGTATGCCTTTAGAGATTAGATCATTGTAATTCTTCTGAGAAGTTGAAATCACTGAAGTGAAACTCCAGAAGAATGGAGGTAACAGTGCTATTTCATAAAGGAAGTGAAACGTCTATATTGTACCATCAGAAAGATGAGAATGCTGAGGTGTTACTTAGGAGCTGAGATCACAGGTTCTACTTCAGAGAAAAGCTGAAATCAATGAGGTGTTACTTAAGGGAGGAGGTGAGATTACTGAGATGTTATTAAGGACCAAGATAATATCACTCAAGTGTTAGACGCTGAGATCACAGAGATGTTACTTAAGAGAGGCTGAGATCGCTGATGTGATTCTTCAGAAAGTAAATGAGATTACTAAGGTGTTACTTTAGAAAGGAGATGAAATAACTGAGTTATTCACTGGAGTTGAGATCACACAGGTGTTATATCAGAGGTGGCTGAAATCACTAAGGTGATTATTCAACAAGTGGTTGAGATCACTAGGGGTGATGCTTTAGAAAAAGGTTACTTTAGGGAAAAGCTATGATCACTGAGATGTTACTTTAGATGGAGCTGTGATCACTGATGTAATAGTCAAAGAGGAACTGAGATTACGGAGGTGTTACTTTGGAGCCAAGAGGAGATCACTCAGGTAGCTAGATAATATCATTAAGTCCAGAAACCTGAGATCAGCTCGATGTTAATTTAGAGAGACAGTGAGACTACTGTGATGCTATCTTAAGTCTTCTATAGGCCAGACACAGACACGATGGCTCACACCTGTAATCTCAGCACCTTGGGAGGCTGAGGTGGACAGATCACAAGGTCAAGAGTTTGAAACCCACCTGGCCAACATGGTGAAACCCCATTTCTACTAAAAATACAAAACTAGCGGGGCGTGGTGGTGGGTGCCTGTAATCCCAGCTACTCGGGAAGCTGAGGCAGGAGAATCCCTTGAACCCAGGAGGCAGAGGTGGCAGTGAGCTGAGATTGTGCCATTACACTCTAGCCTGGGCAACAAGAGCAAGACTGTCTCAAAAAGAAAAAAAAAAAAATCTGTGAAGGGAAGCTGCCAACCCTTGCTAGTTGAGTGTGCAGCTGGCATGTGACTCAGTGGCAGCTGCTCAGTGCCCACTATTCAGGTCCCAATTTCTGATCATTAAAGACAGTGATATTCCATTTAAGATGAGAATAATTCAATTCAATATACAGGAATATTTGTTTAGAAAGACTTTGTATCACAGGACAAGTTACAGAGTACAAGTTATTCTGGATTCCAATAACCTAGGGTTTTCAGGGAAATCCTTCCAAAAAGTATAGTTTGTTTTCCTGCCTTCTTTTTTTTTTTTTTTTTTTTTTTTTTGAGACGGAATTTCGCTCTTGTTACCCAGGCTGGAGTGCAATGGCGCGATCTCGGCTCACCGCAACCTCCGCCTCCCGGGTTCAGGCAATTCTCCTGCCCCAGCCTCCTGAGTCGCTGGGATTACAGGCACGTGCCACCATGCCCAGCTAATGTTTTGTATTTTTAGTAGAGACGGGGTTTCACCATGTTGACCAGGATGGTCTCGATCTCTTGACCTCGTGATCCACCCGCCTCGGCCTCCCACAGTGCTGGGATTACAGGCTTGAGCCACCGCGCCCGGCTTCCTGCCTTCTTAAAGTGAGCTTAATATCATTCTGCCTGTTCTTGCTGTGTCAGGCTGCCATTGATCCATTGGTGAGAATGCAGGCTCAGGTGTCCATGGAGCCAGGAAGCGGACTTCAATGCCCTTCTTTCTGAGGATTCCAAGGCTATGTATTCTTGCCACTCACCACCTCCTCTCCAAGGAGAAGGAGGTGGCACATGACCTACTGGAACATACCTTTTTGGGATATAACATCAAAGGCCAGAACCCCTTTCATACTGATAACAGCCTTCTCAACCATTGTCTTTTGCCCCTGACTTGTCAGCAGCATGCCACCTTTATTTTAGATTTTTTGTTTTATTCAGAAGTCTGTATATTTTAGGTATTTAAATACTTCTCTTTGGCTGGGTGCAATGGCTCACACCTGTAATCCCAGCACTTTGGGAAGCTGAGGTGGGTGGATCACTTGAGCCCAGGACTTTGAGATCAGCCAGACCAACACGGCAAAACCCTTCTCTACAAAAAGAAAAGAAAGAAAAAAGCCACAAAAATTAGCTGGGTATGGTGGCTTGCACATGTAGTTCCAGATGCGCAGGAGGCTAAGGTGGAAGGATCGATTGAAGCCAGGAGTTCAAGACTGTAGTGAGCTGTGATCATACAACTGCACTGTAGCCTAGGCAACAGAGCAAAACCTCATCACAAAAAAATGCATATGTATTTCAATACTAAGAATTTGAAACTTGGTTCTGTTCAAAGTTC